GGATAATTTCTGACAGCTTTGGAGACTCATGATTTATAATTGGGACAAATGTAAAGTTTATGCAGATCAGAGATATTATTAAAGAAGTAAAAGTCAATGTAACTGAAGCAGTCCTGGAGAAACTGAACATACTTCTCCAACCAGACTGGGCTCAAAATCTCTTCCGCACAGCGTTTTACTATGAAATAAAAATAACACATTTCATCACTGGACATACTAAAACACACATGTAACTTTGTGGTTTCAGTGTGGGCTGTGGCCTCAGGTTTGAACATACTTTCTCATACACTGTTTAATGTGTTAAGGTTTAGGGGATTATTTCCTGTTGATGATGTTTTTGGTACAATATTTATCCTCTTATTTTTACAAACTCAGAATATAATGTGGCCTTCTCTTTACCAGAAATATAAAGTACTGTCTTACTTTCAGAAATCTGACAGCAAGTAATACAATTAGAAAATGGGATTAAAAGAGGCTCTGGTTAGTTTGTGAGGCTTGCGCAACTAGCTGGGAACTTCAAAACAGAAAAGGCGTAAAATCTGACAGCATCAATTTTAAAACTGCACCATGGCGACAACTTACATATTTACAAACACCCCACGTATTGGCTAAACCTCGACACACCTCCATCTCAAACTCACTGCAAAACAATAAATAATAAATGGGTGTAGATGCAACGCAGGACAACCTTCCTCAGGTGGAGCATGTGACTTATGTGTATTGTTCTACAGTACTACGAACGCATGCCTGCCCGACGTCAGAGACAAAGCATCAGAGGTTGCTCAGGGTGCAACTGATCCTGAGCTACATTCAGCAAATAGGTACAACAGTGATTTGTTAAGCTGGTGTGTCTGCCACTTCTGTGTCGGGGTGATTTACACAAATAACTGTAATAGCCGTACCATTGAAAAATGAAAAAATAAAAGCCTAGTTAGCAGGAACATCACAAAATGCAAATTAAAGACATTCCGAATGACTTTTTTCCAAGTAAATTCAGCAGGTTAAAGCAAGCAACCAAGGTCTGCATCAAGATTTAAGGAAATATGATGTGGAAACATCATCTGACATGAATTACTGGAAAGTTCAAAGCAAGATAAAACTTGTGGCACTGTGGATTTTTTTTTGTCTTTCTCCTGTACTGATTTCAACTTCCTTGGAAACTTTCATGAGAATATATACCCAAATATGCATTATCTGCAACATTAACATGGCTACCTTGGCAAAGCACTTCTTGTCCTGGGTTAAGAGGACAGCCTTTCCCGAACCTGGTCTGCACACACGAGCCATTTCCCTGAGACATAAGGGGTACAGGTCCCAGTTCTTCTTCTTGGAGCCCATCCTTTTAAGAAAACAGGAAAAAACCACCATCACACAGCTACTTTAGTGCTTTGCTTTAAAGTGGGTTTAATGCCTCATCTCCCATGTGCATTTTTGTTATACTGTGATCTAAATTTCTGATTTCAATCTAATTCTAAGTGTTGAACAGCAAAGGGATTAAAAAACCCCACACATACACTTATAGCATTCAAAATCTAGATACAGGAAACAAATCTTCTAGTGTTGATGGTTATGGTACCTCTTGCCAAATGGCATATCAGTGATGATAATATCAACAGAGCTGGTCCTTATTGGTAAGCTGCACAGATCCCACTGCACTGTGTCAATAGGCAATCCAGATATTCTGTTTGAAGCCAGAGAGATTACATCATTATGGGGATCATCAACCACATGTACTGCGTTCAGTCTCATTCTCTCTGTGTTCACTCTCACCTGCCCTTGTCGGCCCTGCGTTTCTGGATGTGACATATATTGTTGACTGTGCGGTTAACTGCCATGTCATTGTTGTCGCCAGCAATGTAGAATGAACTGCTGAATTCAATTGCACCCTGAAGAGAAGAAAAGCAATACACAATTAGTGGCCTGTGGTTTATTGTTATTTGGATCTTGAGGCTATCGCTGAATAATTCTGCCTTCCGCAGAGTCTCCGGAAGACATATTTGTTAATCTCCACCTTTAGCAGTATCCAGGTTGTGTGATCAATATCGCAGTAATAGCAAGGTTGCAGAATGTGGTGCTTGGATGGCAATATACAAGAGATAAGTTACAGACTGCTGCAGGCTCAAATCACTTGACTCAGAAAAGAAAAACAATATTTGAAGTGTGCAATCTATAGTTTCTTAATCAAGCCAGTTCTTTTATGGGCACCCACGAGAATTGATCTAACTGTGTGGAAGCACTGACTTGTACACTTTTCACTGTGTAGTGCAAAATTATCTACTCTTTCTTATAAAAACTGATGTAGTTGAAGGTCATTATCAGGTCACGATAAGCTGTGTCTCACCTCCAGTGGTATAGCTCCAGTCCCACACATAGGGTCAAGTATTACATCGGATGCCTGAGGTTTACACAGCCTGTCAACAGACAAGGAAACGAACAACGTATTTCATAAGCATTTCATCTTATATCACATTTACCTCTCATATGCTTCTTTTGTAACAATATTACACGCTTCAGATGCTCCAACTCAGCAGTCAGACATAAAGTCAGCACATACAACTACTCATTTAACTCCTTCCATCAGCCTGCTGCTACAGGGTCCCTGCATCCAGGACCCAAACGGCCAAGAAATCATTCATCTTAACTGCTATTAATATGATTAACAGCTCATAATGGAATTTTATAAATTTTCCTTTTCAAACCGATGTTTTAATCTTGCTGTGTGCTGTCTTATTTGTTTTATTTTTATACACTGAAAGCAAAGTTCAAGACAAATTTCCACTGCTTTGCAATAAACAATGTTTTCTCATTCTGTGGGACAACCTGACAGAAATTATTTTGTACAGTTGAAATGTGATGTGTTATAAAGGTTTTATACACACTGTCAAGATACTTTCCAAAGGGACCGAGAGCAATGATGGATAAATATTTAAAGAAATCGTTCAGTGTTCATGTAATCCCACCTTCAAAACAACTAATCTAACCCTACATTCCTGTGCTTCTCAGATTTTCACCTTTTTCCAAATTAGGAAGGAATTCCTGTGAATTTCACGTGCTGATGTGCTTTTATGGTGGTAATGTGGGATTAAAACACAGGGATAAGAACAAACAAGCTCTTGTTATAACATACCACTGTGCCATTTGCAGATTATTTTGCTTTGCCAGACTTCCTATTTTATGTATACAGTGATCAGTGGTTAATTCTTTCCTTTTTCTCCCCCCCATCCATTTCAGGGTCACGGTTGGGCTGGATCAAAGCTGTCATGGAGGGGATGTACACCCTGTACAGGTCACCAATCTACCACAGGGCTGGAGAGAAAGACTCCACGTGGAGGATGGTAGCTGGTGGTTTCAAAACCAGGACTATTTTGCTGTGAGGCGATGATGGCAACCACCATCAATAACCTAACCTTACAACAGAAATTAAAATGTGCACAATTTTATGTGTGAAAGCAGCCACCAGACCACAAGTTTTTCCCAACTTGAAGTGTAAATGTTCACAGTTTGAAATTCATTTATCCAAATATTATTATGTTATGTGTGCATGCTTTATTTAACTGGCAATAGAAGAGTCACCAACATGCTGATGACGTCCAAACCACACAATTGTAAATGTATGCAAAGAGAAGTCCAAATATTCAAGTGAATATCACCGTCTCTGTTTCAAAGGCTTAAGAATTTAGAATCTATTGTCTCTCATTCTTATCTTTAAGGAAAATGTGAGTTAGAAGGACAGTTCATTGTGTTTTGTTACACGTTCAAATAAAGGCTGACGTATGACTAGGAGACACATCGCAACACAGAGGAATTCCTCTTAGTATAATAGAGTATGGTTGGACATGCCTGCATTTCAACAGGGTGCCAAGAATGACTGCCTCACCACCCACCTGTCAGAGTCCTTCACTAACCTCATTAGTATCAACACAACAATCATCACTTTTTAACAGAAAGATTTTGGAGCCTCAGTCATATCTATGAAACTGGAATCGGACACTATGCCAAACAGTGAACGTGCACCACTGTTTACTACACATCTGCAAAATAAAGAAATTAAAAGGCTGCAGGCAAACAGACTAAACATTTTTCCCATCTCTCAGTTTTGACGTAGTTGAAATAAATAGAAAAAATATGATAATAGAAATAATAATAAGGAAAGTGAATAAACAAGCAAGCAAAATAAAAACATGAACAACAGACAGACAGAATGTATACAGCTCGTCTTGGAAGAGCAGGTGTGCTTGGCACAACAGAGCATTCAGATCATAATTCTGGTTGCCTGACAGGTTAACAACAACAAAACGAACAAAGTCTATCCGTGAAGCTGGATTTAAAAAACAAGAGTTTAAAAGTTAAAGCTTTTAGACAATGTGCAGCGCCATCTTGTGCCAGTACAGAACTTGACATCACTAGGGTCATTGGTTGGTTGGTCAGTTGCTGCCAACAGACCTACATTAGTTTATTTTAGCTAACTAGTGACAGGACTGATAATTAACTGGAAAACAATGAGACAAAAAAAGGATATTCTGTCAACGTTCACTCTGTCTCTGTAGCAATAAATGGTTCTTCGAGAGAATCTGCTGCTGTCTGTAAGATGTGATCAGACTGATTATATGCAATAAATCAGTCACACCCAAACAGTTTACTACATGAGCATCGCACCACCTCAGCTCAGGTAGAGGTAGAGCAGGTCATCTACTAATCCGAAGGTTTGTGGTTCGATTCCTGGCTGCTACAGTGTACATGCCAAATGTCTTTGGGCAAGATACTCAACCCCAATTTGCTCCATCAGAGCGATCATCACAGTGTGAATGTTACACAAAAAGCACTTATGAAAGAAAAAGTAAATCAAGTACTTGATCGGGTGAATGAGGCACGTTGCACAAAAGCACTTTCGAGTTCTCAGTCCATTGGCAAACATAACTAGGTTTGTTATCAGCATCTTGGCAGGAAAAACAGGTTAATGTGGTTTCATTTTTTTTAGAAAGTCTTATCTCACACTATTGTCACTGTCATCATACTAGAAGTAAGAAAAAGTGAAGTCCAACTCTATGTGAAGGAGACTTCTATAAACAGGCTAATAGATATCAGGATTCCTAATCATGCTTCAATAAGAAGCTTAGTTATGTCTGTGGTGTGATGCAGATGTAGTAGCTGCTTATGTTCTAAGCTCTTTGGGAGTGCCTGGGAAAAGAAAGACTATTTTATTGCATAAAATGGTGCTGATCACATCTTGTGGACATCGAACACTGTTGGACTCCAACTTGTTGGTCCGGTGAACCACCAGTGCAACTCACTGAAATGGGCTTTTCTCTACAAACCCGAACATTATGGCTGACAGGTGGATTTTCATTTGAGCTAGTAGAGCCTTTTACTGCTAAGACAGAGTAAAAGTGGACAGAATATCCTAACGTAAAACTCACTGTTGCAGCCAGGGGCAGGACACAACTGACCCTCTTAAACTGCTTTTTAGTTTTAGTGTCCTTATGAGTTTCCACTAAGTTGTCAGTTCAGTCAAAAGTTAGCGAACATAAACTAACGAAAGCTTATTAGCAGCAAACAACCAACCCATAAACCCAGTGACATCATGTTCTGTCCTGGCACAAGACGGTGCTTAACATGCTCCAAAAACTTTTAAACATTTATGTATTAAGTCCAGCTTCACAGACAGAGTTAAAACTATGAGGTTTTTTTTTTCTTTTCTTTTTAAGAGTAGGCCGTCATGGTGTAAATTAGCCTTTGTACATGTAGTGTTTCATGTCCACTTCAAGCAAGTATGACAAGAAAACATTATGTGACATAAATTATTGGAAATCACATCCCATCAACTCTTGGACTCAAACAGTGCAATCGTTGTTAGAAGACTTACCTCAGCATGCCGTAGCACAAAGTGGACCGCAGGGTAGTGGGTCCAAAGTGACTGATGTTTCTCCTATGAAGGCTCTCTTCAGTTAGTGCAATACCAATCACCATCTCCTCATTGTGTATGTTGAGTAAGACCTATAAGGAGAGAAAGATTACTAATGTGTCCTGGAGCACTTTTATATGTTATATTATATCATTGTGAGTGTGCTGAAATTATTTAACGGATTAAAATTAATTAATTGCAAAGTACTGTAACTGACATGTTTTACTTTGTCATATGGACTAAATTAAGAGAAACAGATCTGCAGGTTGTTAAAAATTGAAAATAACAGTTAGTAGAAGGTTTGATATAAATAAAAGCAAAAAAGCTGGCAAGAGGTGGTGGAGAGTGTAATAAAGTAGTAGATTAATAGATGTGATTATCACCACAGTGTGACAGGTGTTTTTCTTGGTGGTGGTGTGTGTGTGGGGGGGGATTGAACACTGATTTGCAAAATGTACACACCATCTCCAATATTTTAATCTTTAAGGTGCTAAAGCATTTTTCTCATCTTGTCACATGATATAAACACTTTACCTTAATGGAAAGTGTTAATTACTTTGTTACTCCCTAATATGCCTCGCAATATTCACTCTTTTTTTGTGTGATATAATGTGATGGTGTTTACTTTGCATCTATCAATGCTGAAGCGTGCCTACCTCTATGTCAAACTTTGTCATGTCTGCTTTCCACTGGAAGAATTCTTGCACAGCTCCTCCAAAGTCTCGAGCTGCCTCATTAGAGGAAAAGCTGTGTTTGTCACCGGCCCTGTTACATGTCACGCGAAACTTGATGACTCTGGCCTCAGGCGCTGCCTCTTGCGAGTCCTGTTCGCAGGGCTCAGCGTCAGCTGCGCTATCCGCCTCCAAATGGCTTTCAGCAGCAGACACCACCTGATGTAGCTGCTGCTCAGTGTCAGCAGCAGCTACATCAGCTGTGTTCCTGCTAGGTTTCACTTTGGTGGTGCTGCCTCCTTTTCGGTGGCCTTTCTTCTTTTTAAGTGTTCCATTTAGTTTCCAAACCTCAAGGGCATTAGTCCAGGGAAGTTTGGAGGCGAGCTGCTGCAGCTCCATCAATGTCTCCTCCTGTAGAAGCCAGTGTGTTTGTTATCCTGACAATGACATGCACCTAACATCAGCATCAAGAATAAAGACGGGCCTGGTTTACCTTGGATTGTTTAAACTGGTAATGATCATATTCCTCAACGACAACAAACAGGTTGTCTACAGACCTCAGAAGATGAACCTACAGCAGGGAACGCCAAGTTAATCAGACACAATGATTTTATATTGGTAAGCTTGAAAAAAGCAGACATAAAAACCCAACATGGCAACATTTTTACCTGGAAAAGCTTGTCAGTAGTTATAGGAAAGTATATGCGACCGCGATCTTTGCTAATTCGTGCCTCCACCCCAATTTTCTCCTTGACCTCCTCTGCAGCAGTGTGTTCAAAACCTGTGGGCACAGTCGCCCCGATGGTCACAGTAATCACGTCTCCACTTTTGGCATCCGTCTCTGAGGAAGAAGAGGTGCATGGTCCCACGGAATTGGGGCCCTGCTCTGAAGGTCCATCTTCTTCGCAGGACATATTTTAATATGAGGCCCAATCTTCAATAGACACGGATATACTTGTGTCTGTGACAATCAATATCAAGCACTGCAGCTCACCTGGAGGGAGAAATATGTGACGAAGCATTATACTATTTAAACGTCTTTTAAATAGTGAGTGGCATTAAATTAGCATGAATGTCTGTGTGCCTAACCACTGTAAGCAAAGACCTTTATTGTTACTTCTCGGGAAATAAAGCTTTCAGTTAGCTGGCTAACGCTAGCTTTAAATGACTAAAAGTTGGTTTCGCGTGCAAAGCCACGAAGCGTTAGCCGCTGACACGCTTTTATATTTAACTGCTAACCCATAAAAATATGTATTTATGCATCAAGCCCACCGTCTGAACACAAAACCCTTTTAAGACTAAGTTGTATTATGTTTGCTAAATGTATTAAGACCAACCTGTCACACACGAGGTAACAACATGCTGCTTCCGCTCGACAACAGCAACAGCTTCACTTTTTTCCGGTCTACATTCTTCAAAATAAAAGCATATCTTGAGCTATTAGACCTGGGTTGAATCTCAGAAACCCCACACTGGGTTAATGAAGTAAAAAAAAAAAAAAAGAAAGAAAAAAGAATGAAGTCACTTCAAGTCAGCAACACATTTATTTTTTTTCGAAATTAACATTTAGATACATGCAAAAGGTGAACAAAAAAATGATGTGCAACTTGAACAAAAATCATCAGGAACAATGCTTTGGAAATATTATAATAGAAATCGTATAGGATTTTGACAAAAACGTACAATATAATTCAGGGCATAGAAGCACCCGCTTGTCCCCTGTACGTCAAAGTTTAAACACAAACGCGATGCAAACCGGAAACAGAGACTGTGCGCATTCAAAGTAAAATTGTAATGCGTTTGGTGAACCACATAAATGAGCAAATCGATTAAATATTTAACACATTTCACATATTTCTGTTCCTTTCATATAACTAGTCGCCTACGGGGTGCCAAGAGAATTGTAATTTGGGTGTGAACAGAAAAAAAGAAAAAGAAAAAAAAGAGTTGACCCAGCGGAGAGCCTCTTAGATTGTTGATTGTTAAAGGTCTTGTTAATACTTGGACAAATTATGACATCCTGGGCGGTATAATCATCATCTTGTATATCTGCCCCGACCTATATATGACGTCACCGCGCTGGAGGCCGTGAACTATTGACAGCTGGAGCATGGAGCAAACTTGCTCCCACTAACGCAATGACTGACAGACTGAATGAGAATACCAGCTCATCTCCAGCTTCTCTTTCATATTTCAGCAGATTTACGGCACAGGCGCCTTTACCATTGTTATCATAGCGACAGAGACCAAAACCCTTTCCACAGAAACTGTGAATATTCAGGTTATGTCTATGAACCTGTGTAATTCCTTCATATTACCACATCTTATTTACATAGTAACTTGATGTGACTGGAAGGCTTTAGTGTGAAATTGCTTTCAAACGACAACTATAGACTATTTTAATGTTCTGCTGCATGACTTGTTGAATAAAAATAACTATTAAGACTAATTAATGAAAATGAGTCACAGGTCATTATTTTGATTGCTAGTCAGAGAACTCAATCTACTGTGTTCTGACAAGTTATGTTGACATGGGGTTGTTTAAGCTTACTGTATTACAAAATGTAAACCTAAAGTCAATCCATAGAGGCTTTAAGCCGCATTACAAAGAAATATAAGCTTTGTCAAATGCTTTGTCTACTGATGATTTATTGCAGATAAATTGCTACAGTGGTTATGGAGCGTCGTTGTTAGCTGAGCATCTGCATACTAAGGTTATAATACTAATGTCAGGAAGCCAGCAGAGATCATTTTGCTCTCATAAGGTAAAGCTGACTGAAACAAAGCCTGATCCTTTATATAGCTGATATTAATAGTCATGAATGGCCCCAAAGATAAATTATGTACAGATCATTTAAATCTCTTGCGCTGTGATATTAAGTCACAGAAACACAGAAAAGAGCTGATTCACCGACCCTTTATGTTACCCATAAAGCCAATAGGTTCGTAAAAAAAGGATTAAAAATAAAAACATGTGACTGGGTTATTAGATATGCACTCCTGAATCACAGTCCTCATGACACTTTATCAGTGTGTGAAGGCAACACAAATATTTAAGTAATTTGGAGGGACTGTTTTTCTATCCAAATACGCATGACTGTTTTCAAATAGAGGCGCTTTTGGAGCTGTCGTAAAACGTTTTGTGTCCTTATTCAGATAAGTCTTTTGCGTCACAATAACTACAAAACAACTAAATAACAGAATTTATGGCTGTTACAAATCCACTAAAAGAAACGAATTTTTTTTGCCACCGGGATATATCCTCTTTCATTTACCCGAACACGACAAACCGATTATAGAATTGACCGGCAGAGGGCGCTACAGAACAATGCTTTGAGCTGGGAATGAGCACAAACCCATTCATAGAACATGGAAAAAGAAGAAGCCAAAATAAGAAAAACAGACATGGGAAGAAAGAGACATCATATGTATCATCACACAGCCAAATATTCAAGTATCCTATCATATGAAGAAGAAAATGGACAATTATACACATGGAAAAAGCTCAGAGAAAATCTAGTAGGTGAGAGGGTTTAAAACCATCATCTCTTTTATAGATTTACATGTCTGTTTTTATGAATTGCTATCTATGTTTTATTTGTGATCGTGCTTCACATATAGGAGTGTCTGTTGATATTTATGGATTTCATATTTCTCACAGTGTACAGCTACATGTCACAGGTAAACCCAAATACACTGCTATTGATTTTTTTTCTCCTCTTGAAAAGTGTTAGTCTTTCCACTGGCCAGTGCACTCAAACACAATCTCCGGTCCTCATTCATCATTTGTCATTAATGGAGATGAGGCTGTGGGTGAAGATGTGAATAATGGCCTTCTTCTCTGTGTCACGGGTAAGTGATCAAAACTGAAGCCTCTAAGCAGTACAAGATAATGTTTGTTTTTTAAAGCAAACACTTGCAGAGAACAATAAATATCATGTCTATTTATTCACAGTGTTTTCTGTACTATTATTGTGACGTGTAAATAAGCGCTTTATGAATCACTGGTATTTAAGATGCTTATTTGCATCACCTTCTAAAACAGAGAAATGCCCCCACGCCTCCCCACACTGCATCCTCTGTGTTTGTTGAAAATGTTTAGTTGTTTTCCAACTTTTTGTTGCAGGTCAACTGATTAGTAAGCATCAAGTCTGAGAGACAAGTGGGCGTTTTATCTCTTCGGGGAATGAAAAGTCCTGCTCAACAGATGGCAAGTGCTGCATACGAACAGAGACTGCAGAGAACTTACTGGCAACTCAGTGCTGCTATAAACACAACTACCACCTATTCCTTAATGATACTTCATGCCTTGAGTCCAGCTCAAAGATCAGTAACTATTTTTATTCCTTGCTCAGAATTACTATTGTCAGAAGTGTAGATGAGTTCAAGACAAGAAAGACCAAAGCCATCTCTCTTTTCTGGGGAAGCTTAGGCCCTTTGAAATCTGGATGTGTTCCGAGTCTGGTGGCCATTTCTCATCCTTGATGCCGTGGCACACTCAAGCAGCAGACTGAGGGTAGCAGAACCAACATAAACTGATCCTCCAGGCCAGTAGCGCTGTGGGTGTGGAGCTTGACTCTCAGATGGCGGTGTCAGAAAGGAGAATGCTGTCCAAGTCACGGACAATATTGGACAGTCACCACAGATGCCCCACAGGAAACCACAGGAAACCATTCGTACCTGTGTCCATCAAAAAAGTCCTTCCTATGACACCTGAACTATTTAAATTAGCTTTACGCTGTATAGATTGCACACAGTATCGTTCACCTTTTGAGCATTCGTCTTTGAATCTTGCGTCTTGAATAGAGCACCTTATTTTTTTTACATATGGGACATATTTTTCCATCTTCCATATTTATATATTAATTGAGCATCTGATTCTGAAAAGTCCTTCTCTTTGACCACATTTTACATATTTAAATAACACATTAAATACACAGTGGGGACAATACATTACAAAGTGACCTCAACCTTAAGAGGAATCCTAGTAAATCATAATCATTCTTGGTAAATATACAATCTGCTGTCATGTGTGTCACAATGGGTTTCTGTTGCATAATTTCCTGTTTCTTTCTCTGTTGTGTGCACCATCCATGTATTAATCACTTCCTGTTTCATTTTGACATTTGTTTAGTCTTACAACACAGTTAGTTGTGCTTCCAGCCCACTGTTCTGTTTTACACACTTTTCTGTGGCACAACAGTGTCCAGTTAGCCAATCATGCTCCTCAGTATACACCTCCAGTTGTTTAACCTAAAACTTTGCAGATTGTATTGTGATTGCACCGTATTTCTGTGCTTGTGTGGTTTCTGGCCAAGTGCCTCCCACAGTCCAAAGACATACATGGGATCACGTTAATTTGTAATTATAAATTGGCCGTAGGTGTGAATGGTTTTCTGTCTCATTCTTTGTTAGCCATATGAATGACTGGTGAGGCGTTCAGGGTGTAACCTGCCTCTTGCCTTTATGACAGCTGGGATAGGCTCCATCAGTCCCCCAAAACAACAACAATAAAACCCCTGTATATTTTGGACAGATTAAAAAATGAACTCTAATTTAAAAAATCCCTGAACAGTTTCATTAATTATCTAAATTTATTGTACTTGTTATGAAAGCACCGGCAATGTCTAAGAGATTTCCAGATAATTCAAGCAACATCCACCCTGTAATGCTGATCTCTGTCACACCTGACATGTCACAACTGAGGTGCTCCCTTATGGCTTCACTCTTCAGACATGTAGGTGATGCATAGGGTCTGACAAATACCGCACAAAGATACAGAGTTATCTACACAGTAAAGACACACAACACAGGAAGACGCACGGTTTCTTTTTCATATCCAAGCTCACTGAACCCAGACATAGATATACACACACAGCCTTTCAAAGGCCATTTAAAATTCCTCTGGGCCTTTTACTCCTGTGAAGAGGCTTGTGCATGCTGTGTTCAACAGCCTGAAAACATCAGTTGACATCACAAGGCCAGCGAAGAATTCAAACCTAACTCCTTAAATCATAACTGGTAAGAAAGCAGCGGGGCAGAGCAAGCCTGCGTGCACACTGTTTGAGGGAGAGAAACGCTTTAGAGATCTTCTGTGCGGTAATTGATCAATTAGATGCTTATTGGGTGACTAGCTAATTGTTCCATCTCATTTGTACCATGTAATATGTAAATTGTACTTAAATTGGTGTTGCTGGCTGAATACTAATGCAGGTCCTTAGCTTACAATGATATGCTATTTCTTTTGTCAAATGAAAGTAATTTGTAGCTATATTCTGAAAAACCTACATGTCTTGATAATTTAATGCTCATTTGTAACAAT